GCACTGTCCGTTAAGTGTTGGACTTTAGGATTTGGTTCAGGGCATGAGCTTAGGGTCCTGAAATCAAGCCCCTTGTCAGGGCTCAGCACTGAGTGTGGAGCCTGCTTGAGATTCTCTCTCCCTCTCCCTCTGCCCCTCCCACTCGTGCTCTCTCTGTCTCTCTCTCTCAAATAAATAAATAAATCTTTTTAAAAAATCATTTACCAGGCACCTGGGTGGCTCAGTCAGTTAAGCGTTTGCCTTTGGCTTAGGTCATGATCCCAGGGCCCTGGGATTGAGTCCCCTGTGGGGCTCCTTGCTCAGCAGGGAGTCTGCTTTTCCCTCTCCCCCTGCCCTTCCCCTGTGGTTGTGCTCTCTCTCTGGAGCGCTCTCTCTTTCAAATAAATAAAATCTTTTAAAAAAATCATTTACCCTAATACTCCTGTGACTAATGAAATCAAATACCGTCAATCAATTTATAGTGATTGTAAAGAGGAGATCAATTTATAATTAGTGTTTGTAAAGAGGAGATGATATTTATCAGTGCCAGAAAACAAACTCTCCAAGTCTGATTTTATTTTATAAGGTTTTGTCTCTGACCTTGGTACAAACAGCCATCCCATTTCAGAAAAGAGTTGTTGTATTTATTGAATACATGTTTCATGAAAAAGCTTATTTAACCATCTCAAGCATCTGTACAGCATTTTTCATGAAATTTAATTGAAAGAGATAGATCTCAGGTCCTCACAGTTTTGGGTAAGTGTTGCTTCTTGCTATCCTAGCTAGGTATATATCTTTTAAACTTTCCTTTTGTGTAACATCTTGCTTTCCATTCCTTACAGTGCCCTGGATGAATAATTGCAATTTTTGCTATCTTTTCAGAGGAATTTAATTAAAAAAAAATCTCTTAAACTATACAATCCAATTTTATGTATTTTTACATAATGCTTTCATTTCTCTTATGTGATGATTTTAAAAATTACTTTTCTAAGCAACCATAGCTTATTGTAAATCCATGAGCACATGTAAGTCAGTGATTTCTTCCCATGAACATTTTCTTGCTTTTGTTCATAAGTTCAATTGGCTCTGCCATTAGGTTTCCTAATTATTTTTCAGTAGGTACTTAGAATCCTCTCTAACAGTGGCTAACCTACATAATTCCTCATCCTCAACAAATTATTTTGCCACTTACTATTCACCTTTTCTGGGCACCCTTAATGAATGAACAGAAAATTGGTCCTCATACTCATCCTGGGAGTATACCATCATTAACCTCTTTCTAATATGGGCAGTTTATCTCACCACCTGATGCTGTTATTTAAAGGAGCAAAGTGAAGTGGAGAGATGACCAATCAATCAAAAGTGTCACTTGATGCGTATTATGTACCTACACAGTGACAGAAATTAGGAATGCATAAAAGTAGGCTACACAGTCTTGTTCTCTGAGAACTTAGCACTGAGTTTGGCAAGTAGCTACAGCTCAATATTAGGACAATAAATAATTGCTAGATTGTAACTGTGGCTTTAAATAATAAAGGATAATAAGCTTATAATTGGGCAGAGAAAATAGACTCTCAGATACATTTTCCTTAAACAGCTTATAGTAGATAAAAAAGAGGTCACCATTCTAGATGTGGGAAGCAATATAAGCAATTGCACAAAGATAGAGGTAAGGTCTATAGGAGGATAGTAAAAAGACCAAGCATTCCTCTCGTGGCAATCATAAAATACCTACTTGGATAGATAGATGGGGTCATCAAATTCATTTTTTTTTTTTAAAGATTTTATTTATTTATTTGAGAGAGAGAATGAGAAAGAGAGAGCACGAGAGGGGGGAGGGTCAGAGGGAGAAACAGACTCCCCGCTGAGCAGGGAGCCTGATGCAGGACTCAATCCCGGGACTCCAGGATCATGACCTGAGCCGAAGGCAGTCGCTTAACCAACTGAGCCACCCAGGCGCCCAAATTCATTTTTTTTTTTTAAACCAACAAATATAGTTCCTACAGTACTTTGTCTAGGTGTCAAGAGCAATACGAAGAGCAATCTTGGGCAGATTTTCTGCCTAAGAAAGCAACACAGAGCTATATGTGTGGGGGAATATGGAATTAAAATGCTTGAATGGCAGCTTGGTATCATCAGATTGTAATAGTTCAAATGGCAGGCTTTGCAAAGGTTTAGGCTATACTTGTAATGATTTGAAGTGTCACAGTGCTTTTTATAAGGGATCTTAGATTCTTCCCTTATAACTTCTCCCAGGCTTTTGTCTTTTGGTTGTTGTTTGCTCTTTCCTGATTTTTATCATGCCTTAACTATTATATTAGTTTCCAAATAGATGTCTTTTTCTTTAGTCTGTCCTATAAGCTATTGCCAAATTAATTTTTCTAAAACCTAGCTCTTTATCAAGGGCTTTAACAAGAGACTCTTCTGTGGCAAATATTTTTTGATAGGACAGAACTTGAACATCCTGGCCATGATTTCAAGGCCTCTTATACTTTGATTCCAGCCAACTTTCTCTTCTTCCTTTACTCCTCCACTAAACTCTGTTTTCTGATCAAGGTATTTTACCTGCTGTTTTCATGGCAACATTTCCTATTCTATGTCTTTTTGCATAAAATGTTTCCATCTGGGATGCACACCTTCTCCCAATTGCCATTCATGTGAATTCTTGGTTTCCTTTAGCCTCCGCTTAATCTCTCTTCTCTCAGCCTCATGCTGGAAATAACTTTTCTGTTCTCAGAATTCCACATTCTCCACCACAGTTTGCACTTGTAATTCCTTATACTGAAGTTGGTCTTATATGTCTTATCTTTGCATTATGTTATAAATTTTTTTCCAGCTCCCTTGGATTTGCAGAGTGGACGGAGTGTACATAATACCTGATGATACCCATTAGTAAATATCTACTTGAATGAGACTACTGGATGAATGAACAATCAATCAAGATATAGGCTAGAAGAATGTTAGTAATGAAGAACTAACTACATGGATGCCTCCTGGCTGTTTGGCCTCTGGCAGGCTGATGGGGCCAAATGGCCAGGCACTTGTAAAGGAAGACGAGAACTTGGAAAATGTGCCAGTTTCCACTAATGCTGTTAAGTTCAGACCAATCAAAATGTTAATTATAGAGACAAATAAAGCTTGAAAGGGTAAGATGTTTGTCATCTACTGTCTGAGCCAAGTCAAAGGGAGTCCCAACAGCAGACTGGAGCTGACATAGCCTAATAAGGTGATGAAATCAAGCATTAAAGTTAAGTTAATTATGTGTGTGTATGAATGTGTGCGTGTATATGTGTGGTTTGATTTTGCTAAATTTCAGTGAAGTTATGATTTGAGCAGAATAATCTAATTTATGATAATGTACCTTTGATCTCTGTGTCCAAGTGGGCTGCATAATGAACTCAGCAATTTCCTCCTCCTTCTACAAAGGTAATTTCTGGTATGATGAAATAATTAATGTAGATGAGGGGTTTTGAGAACTAAGTGTAATCAAGTTTTTTAAAAGGAATTCATCCCAACACCAAAGAGATTAAAATCATGACTCTGGTCATTCATAATAACCACTTACGATTTTAGATTTCTGAGTAAATTGAGCAGGAAGATACCCTTATTTTTCAATCTCCAAACTATCTGTCCTCAGCAGACTTTGTAACCAACATCTTGATTTCAGAAAACTATATCCCCCTTGGCTTTAATGCTTAAAATGTGAAACCATCAATCTGGATAAATTTGAATTCTAACTTTCTCCAGCTGCATGACTTTAGGCAAATTTTTAAATCTCTCTGGGCTTGAGTTAACTCACAAGTAATGGGAACAATTAATAATACTTACTTCATGCAGATTGGCAGAGGATTATCAGGAAGGGTGCCTGGCATAGTGGCTAATTGTAAGTGCTCAAAAATAATTCTTTCTTTCTTCCTTTCCTAGCCACTCATATAAACAAGGAAATTCAAAGAGGCAGATGAAATGATACCAAAGTTCTAGCAAAACTCTGAATTTGTATTCCACTTTTTCTCTTAGAAAATATGAGATATGTATAATTCAATCTTTATGTTTTTTTAAGATTGAGAGAAAAAGTGTCCTTATGTAGGGTGCACTTATCAGTTAAAAGAGCCGAATAATTCTGAATGCTAATAAGCTCACTGATGTACACAGCTGCTGCTAATATTTAAAAAATGTTTTATACATTAATTGAACGTTTTTACCCTAAAATTTCTGAGTCTCTTTACGGCTTTAATCTTCACAAAAATCTATTTTTCTTTTATAGTTAATGCAATCGGAAATACATTATAGCAAATTATTTTCATTCAAGCAATCTTTTGCTGATTTTTCCAAGCGGAGTTAAAATGTATCTCCACAAAGAGGCCTCCCTTTTCCCTCTTTTTGTGTACAATCTTTAGTATGCTCATGATATTCACCAAAACTCTTTGGTGGAGCTTATCACACTCTGCCCAGTGTAAGAGTTTGTCTATGTGGGTTCAAATAACAGTTTCCAGTGGTTCCATGTTGACGGTGTAGTTGCTAAATAACTGCAGACTAAACTTTAGTCTCTGTTACTCAATTTTGATTGTGAAGTTCTAGATGATTTCATGACAGACATTGCAAATGGCTGTTTTCTCAATATTTATTGGTTGACTTAAACTAAATTGAAAGACTGCAAGTAGCAACTATCAAGCCATGACATTTCAAGGTAAAGAGTTAATAAATAATAGTCTGTAGTTACATGATTTTACTGAGACCTCAAAATCTACTAAACTCCTTTCTTGGTACTGCTCCCTGTTTGGATCCTTTGTCCTCAGTTTCTCTCATCCTTGCTTACTCTACCCTTTTCCTTTTTATTCAATTATCTGTTTCCTATGTCCGTCTCATTTCTCCTGTTTGTCTTTTCTTTTCTCCTTTCCCACCTCAGTTTTTTTCTCTTACAAAATCACACACACACACACACACACACACACACACACACACACGGACACACGCATGCGTGCACGCACGTACCCAGTTTTATGTATTTGATCTTTCCTTACCGGGATGAAGATGTAGGCTCAGTAGTTTGTCTTTGCACACGTGCATGTTTAATTAAATGCTCTTTTAAAGCAGTTTGGACTTCTGCTGGGATATCAGGGGAAGTGTGGCTGATTTTTATAGCAGGTTCAATAACTTTTAGAGCTTGTTTTTCATTTTCTTTAACTTCTTTTTTCTCTTCAGTCTCAAAAACTTCAGTAGGAGCACTTGAAATGCTCTGTGGAAGGGTACTGATGTTGGAAGTCACTGGTTTGCTTTTCCAGCAAGGCCAGCACAACTTCCAGAAGACAAAAAGTGAAACAACCAACAAGGCCAGGCCACAAAAGCTGACAACCACCGCCAACAAGCTGACCGAAATATCTGGAAAAAAATTACAATGTAAAGGAATATTAATTCATTGGTAGTATAGATAAAAGAGCAGCAATGGTGAGATAATTTACATTATGATTATTATTAATAGCTTTCTGATTGAGAGTTTCAAAATTGACTTTTAAGTTATCTTTGTAGGGAGGAAAGATTAATAATTGCGCCTGGAAATTCTCCAAAGAGATATATGAAAATTTCGAATTGTACACAGAAAAAGCATATCACTTCCAAGAACACTACAAAGGGTCCAAGAGTTTGCAAACTGAAGGGTGGCAACTTGCAACCTGCCTTGAAGTTATGAATCTTAAGAAACTCGGGAAATGCACACAACAGGAAAGACTTCTGTTGGCTTCATCTTTTATCTAAAGATGTAAACTTCTCACTCTTGAAGCAGGGAATAATGTTAAATATTTGCATAAACCACTTTCTATAGTCTACATAAGGATAACATGTTACTAACAGAGAATGGGTATACTAGTAGCTCTATTTTTAAACTCCCCAGGTCCTTTCTGATAACCTTGCATGTTCCTACTTTCTAAAGTCCCAAATTAGTGATGCGTTACTTAAGTATCTCTAAAATATTCTTACTTCAAAATATTCACAAACTTAATACATGCTCATTATGCAAAATAACTTAAAGAAATATAGTAAAAAAAGTTAGTAAGATTGAGTAAATAAATGAATGGGGGAGAAGAAACAAATCTCCTGTGCAGAAGAATTCCAAACAATTTACATAGATACTCTGCTCTCAAGGAGGTGGAGCACAGCTCCCCCCTCCTTAAGTGTGGCTGCACATAGTGACTTCCTTTCAAAAAGGAGAGTATGGAAAAAGGTAAAAACAAACAAACAAACAAATAAATAAAGGGTAACTCTACAGTGGAGAAACCTCACCGGGGTGATCAAAGTGAATATCGACAATAATGAATCATGTTGATAGTATGCACCCCTGATAAGTGATGAATATGGCACTCTACCTCTGTGGTCTTCTTCCCCAAACCCATAACCTGAGTCTAAACATTAGAAATATATAAGACAGATTCCAGTAGGAGGGCACTCGATAAAATATCTGACCAATACTCTTCAAGACTGCCAAGGTTCTCAGATAAAGAGAGAGTCTGAGAAACTATCACAGACAAGAGGAGATTACAGAGGCATGACAACTAAATATAATGTGGCATCCTAAACAGAGTCCTGGAATAGAAAAAGGATATTAGATAAAAACTAAGGAAATATAAATAAAGTATGGACTTAAATTAACAATGTATCAATACTGGTTCATTAATTATAACAAATGTCCCATATTAATGTAAAATGTTAATAATAGGAGAAACTGGGTATGGGGTATATGGGACCTCTGGACTATTTCCCCCAATTTTTATGTAAATCTAAAACTGCTCTAAACAGTAAAGTCTGTTTTTAAAAAAGTTAATGATATCCCACTACCCACTTCCATTTTCAGCCTCCTAAGACGACCAATACTAGCAATCTGGTGTAACAGTACTCTTCAAAACCAAATAGAGTTCCTGTAAAGGGAGATTTTTCTAGATGTAAATAACCATGTAGTTTTCTTTTACAACTTTGCTTAGCCTCAGTGTAAAATATGAATCCAATATCTTTTATTTGTTTAAAATAAAAATGTTAGGCATATGTTAGAGGCTGAATTATGTCTGTCCCTTCATCCCTTCCACTTTCTTATATTGAAGTCCTAATGCCCTAGAGCCTCAGAATGTGACTGTATTTGGAGACAGGGCCTTTAAATTAGTAATTAAGGCAAAATGAGGTCATCTGAGTAGGCACTATTCCAGTGACTGGTGTCCTTATAAGAAGAGATTAGGACAAAGATACTCAGAAAGACCATGTGAAGACACAGGGAGAAGGCCACCTACAAGCCAAAGGGGAGAGGCCTCAGAAAAAAAAACTAACCCTCCTCACACCTTCATCTCAGACTTCTGGTTTCCACAACTGTGAAGAAATAAGTTTCTGTTGTTTAAGCCAACAGTCTGTGGTACTTTGTTATGAAAGGCCTAGCAATCTAATAAAGAACAAATCTAATTTCCTTTAACCACTACTGTAAATCCAGGATTTCCCACCCCTCCTTAGAAGCAACCTTTGATCCCAGTTTGGTGTGTATCTGGCCAGCCCAAGCACTAATAAACAAAGATAATTCTTTAAAAACCCACAAAAACACAGAATTGTTTAATATACTTTTTAAAAAACATAAATAGTTTATTGCATATTTCTTCAATTTGCTTTATTTTTTTATTCAATGATCCTTGAGGTCTAACTTCATCTCACATAGTATTCCATAATACTTCCTCAGGATAGATATTTAGATTATGCCCAGTGTTGTGTTGTTACAACATAGCTACAATGAGTGTCCTTGCACCCTTCTTGTGCATATTTGTGAGTGTTTCTCTAAGGTAAATATCTAAAAATAGAATTGCAAAGTCATGGATTATGCACATATTTAATGTTACTAGGTATTTCCAAAAGAACCTCAAAGTGACTATAACAAAAACATGATATGAGTTTACCAGTTCCTACAGTCTCAGAGAAATGCTGATGTACTTTACTTTTCACTGATACGATTGGGAAATGATACCTTGCTTTAATTTACATTTTCCTGATTAGTAAGATAAAATGGTTCTGTTTAAACTCCTAATTTGTAGCTAATGGAAACCTATTCAGAAATTGAAATAATTTCAAGTTTTTAATGCTACTTAATTATAAGAATAAAAATTAATTTGACATGCTGTTATACATAGATATTAATATTTTATCTCATTTTCCAGTTACTTATTAAAGCATCCATTGAATATATTTCCCATTTATACTCCATTGATGAGGAATGTGATACTTTATATTTTGTAGTTTATTTTTACTTTTTAATTGTTCATTAGCCCCATAACTTGAAAAAAAGAAAAAAATACATAAAATGTGCTTCCTGATTATTAACTTTGGTTTTAAATGGAGGAATAAATACTACAATTATGGATTCATAATCTTTATGTATATTTGGCTCCATTTACATTATATTTTATGGATATTTTAACTCAGTTAATTCTTTAATCTGCTAATTTCTACCCAGCTGGAGCCAAAAGCCAAGAAATAAGGAAACTGCAGGACAATGTGGGGTAGGGGCAAGAATGGAAGTAGTTTTCAGCCCACAACTGAAAATGCCTCCCTTCTTACTTATGGACATTAGAGAACTTATTATACTCTATGCACAAAAATTTGATGACATTTGTTTACGCCACTGTTCCTAAGTGATGGGCTTTGGCATTCACAAGGTTGTTCTCATCTTAGGAGAAAGTCCTGTGGAAATCTCTGACCTTAATTCCATTTTCCCTACTGCTGACAATTTTCTTTCTAAAATCAGTATCTGGTTCTACCATTTAGGGGACCATAAAATATTTCATCCATACTAAGTTACTCATGAAAGTGAAAAGTTGTGGTATCAGTAATGAGGGTAGCTGGAAGAAATCAAGTCCTGTCCTGGCAACTGAGATATATGGTCGCCTTACCTCTCTTTGCCTAACATCCTTCCGGGTCACCTCTTAACCATCTGAGACAAATCCAAACTTTGTAAGGCATTCCCCAGCATCTTTGTGATTTGACCGCTCAGTATTGATCACCTTTATTCTTCTGCCACTTTCCCACCTAAACTCCTTCCTCCGACCACACATTACTGTCTTATGATTTTGTTTAGCCCGTTTGACGTAGCTCCAGTGCATTTTCTTCTCTCTGGCTGCCGGGTAAATTTGTATTCAACAATCAGATCCAATAGTATCTCTTTCTTGACACTCTCTGCCTCTTCTATTCCTGAGGGCTTTGAGAGCACCTCCACCGCTGTAACACTACTATTATAATAACTGACTGGCTTCTAATCCTTTACCTCAAACTCTGAGACATGACGATGTGTTTCAAAAATTATTTTCTTTTGGATGTTAGAAAGGCAACATGACGCACATTATCTGGGGCAACATCCAGTAATCAAACACACCCATACGTCTATAATGAAATGTATGAATTAGTCACACTGAGTGGGATCACTGAAGATTTTAAATAGCTTAATGCCAATTCAGGTAAGATGTTGATGCCAAAGTGCTACAATTTACAAAATACTTTGCAGTTTTCAGGGTTTTGAGGTTTCATAATTGTGGATAAGAGATTGTGGATCTGTACTTATTTTGTTTTTCCAAATGTTCCCATCCTACAAATACTCTCATTCCTCGATCCTTCAGAGCAGAAATCAAATGTATTCACCTATTTTAGTGTCTGGTATTTATTACATGGTCAAAAAAATGTTTATGGAGCTACTGCATACATATTTTGGGAGTTATCTGACAAGGAACTCAAATGTCTGTGAATTTCAAGGTGGCTGGATGAAAAAAAATTGAGTAATTTGGAGGAAATATGCAGAAATTCGTGTACTAGGAAGATAGTATAATATAGCTTATAATTTAGCTTATAATAGCTTATTGATCTGGGTTCAAATGTCAACTCCACCCCTGTGACTTTGGGCAAGTTGATTAGGTTTTAAGAGTCTTAGAAAAAAAGGGTATCGTCGTGAGGTTTAAATAAATGTATATAAAGTATTTAGCATTGTAATTTGCATAATATGTACAGTGATGGGTTGCTATCAACTATTTACTTTCCTTTAAACAAGAGTACTGAGGAAAAAGAGGCATCGTTATAGATTAGATATGGATTGAACGGTGATTCACAAATTAGTAAGAAGAGGAGAGACTTATCTGACGATATCTGGTACTGAAAGGCGTGAATTTGTTTAAAATGAACACCATCATTTCTAGGTAAATACTAATGTTTCAGGAAGCTAACAAATAACATCCCATTTTTCTACACATACGTGCTCAGAACAACTGAGAGACATACACAGCGTTCAAAGAGGTAGCAATTAAAATACTAGCAGCTCTCCGCTTAAGTCTGTCAGAAAGTAGTTGATAATATGCTACCTTAATTTAATTAGACTT